TTAAGGCAACCTGTAGCAACTAGAACTCCGCCTGCCCGAAGCCTGACTGAACGCCAACCAGAAAAAATGCTAAGTAGTGCATACCAAGCAAGGTTGGCTACATACATATAGAAGCCAAGCAACCAAAGCGTCCAGAGAAAAAGATCTGTGCTCCAGTGTTCCTGACACTCCGAACTTCAGCTATGGTTACGGAGAAATGGCAGGTAGAGGGAGTCAATTTTACTTCTCTGCCCACACAGCTCAAAACTTCCACTCTAGAGCTTTTCTAATGGCTTTCAAACTTTGGAAGTTTCCACTACAGCATTACTCCCGACTCTTGGGAGGGGCTGCACTCTCCTGGAGAAAAAAAAGTATGAGACCGAATCACTTGTCAGGCCAAGTGAGAATACATACAGGCCGAGGAACGCAAGCATATTCATTTTAAGCCGTTGCAGAAACAAGAGTGATGTTGTCATGGAGTACAAGATCGTCTGCCGCATGTCACGTGAACAAACTAACCTTACCCGCAACATAGTGGTCATTGAGATGGAGCTGCATCCGAATATTACATAGGACAGCCAACACCAGGCTCAGGTCAAGCTTTTTCCTCGTAAGAGCACGTGTTTTATGGAATACTATTCCGTGAGGCGTAGTCCCCCCCCCCCCTCGGTAGACTCATTCAAAGGGTTTGACGAATACATTAGTTTATATTAAATGCCGGTGACGTACTCAGGGAATTGATAACGTCGCTACCCCACCACTACTTTCTTCTTACCACCCACTATCTTTTTGTTTTTGATACGCCTACATTACGTTCTAACTTCGTCCCGGTAACTAAACTCATGTCGCCTACGTTTACCTTTAGGGAGCCTCCTAAATACCTTTTCCCACTATCTTGCGATTCTTATCCAGGCATCCATGCAGACGGTTTCCTAATCAACTCAATCCATAAGTTGAAGAACCCGGCCAACAAAAACATTCATCCAACCAGAACTAAGATCAGGAAAGCAGAAGCAACTTCTCTGCCCACTGCAGGAACAACAAGGACTAAGCCCCAAGAGCTAGACCCGAGAGATCAAAAACTGTCAGTTCCCTGTGTTCGATCTGTTGATGTTTGATGGTAAGAAGGAAAGTTTTTGAGTTGCGTTTTATCTACTATTCACAGAGTCGTAGAACTGTGACATCTGTAAGCGAATATCAAAATAATTCGGGCTATCAAAGTGTTTTTGTTGCACTTGTGTAATATTCCTCTTTTCCATTCAGTGAATTAAAGCATGAAAAATTATTTCTAGGGTTACTGTTTTCAGCCAGGTTATCCACATCAACAGCAACAGTACTTTAGACATGTGAGAGATAAGTGGCATGAGACAGTTTCGTACTGCAACGTGCTCGAAATCTTACTTATTCACCTATTTCTCTTCTTCTTTTCCCTTCCATATTCTCGAGGGCACCACCAAACTGACACTGCTCTATGGGCCTTTTGCAACAACATACCTATTTGCAGACTAGGTGAAAAACTATCAACAGATTTTGACAATGATTAGAGAACCACGGTCACGGTCAAAGATTGGTTTTCAGATTCAGATTTGTTGTTTGAGGATAGGAGGCTGGGAGCCTATATTAATCCTTTTCCAGTAGATTTCTGTGCTTGTCCAATCCCCCCTTTTGAACGAGTCAGTTGATGATACGGACACCGCTTCTTCTGGGGGTCGGTTCTAGGTGTTGATTACTCGACGCGAGAACCAGTACTCTGCGGAGACTACATTCGTTCTTTGCTTTTTTAGTCTCTTACTTTGTCCTCTGAGGTGTTCCGACCTAGTGAGATGGAAAAGAGAAGATAGATCGAGTCCGAAGTCATCTCTTAGAATCCTGTGTAGCATGATTAGGTCTCTCTTCTGTCCGCGATAGGACGAAGTGAAGGGGTTCAGCTTCTTAAGTCGGTCTTCATAGGTGAACTCAGCCATGGCGGGGATCAGACGAATGGCTGCCCTCTGGACTCTTTCTAGAAGGTCTGCGTCACCTCTCAGACAAGGATTGGCCGCCTGTGTACACTTTTATAACTTAGACCCAACTTAGGATGTGTACAAGATGGTGGACATATCAGCACATACTTCCGTAAACGTTCTACCTAGTGCCCAGAGTGTCGTAAAACTCCAAGCTGCTACTAATAGACAGTTAGCCGTGGTTTTCAAGTCATAACTCGCCGTGACTCCTAGGTCATTGTGGGTCAGTGCTGACGGTAAAGGAGTCCCATCAACATCATAGATATTGCTGTGCGCGTACCTCAAGTGCATGCTCACACATTTACCTGCATTGATAGGCATCAGCCACTCCCCTGACCAGGTAAACAAGCTGTTCAGGTCTGCCTGGAGTGCACGCATATCCTCGTCGTTCCTAATTCCCCGCCAGACTTCTACATCATCAGCGTAGAGAACCATAGGGAATTTCATGATGTTTGGCAGCTCATTTATGTATAGGAGAAAAGGTAGGGGGCCCAGGACTATGCCTTGTGGCACATCATCTTGGGTTTTGTAGTGGTCGTTCACTTACCACCAACTTGCTGACTACCTGGGAAAACTGAACCTTTAGTTGGGGCAACAGAAAACCGGCACATCTTACATTTCTCGGCCTGGCCGAAGTATTTGACAGTGTTTTGTGCAAAATCTAATTCCATAAGTTCGTGTCTGCTGGCATAAGGGACTACCTGCATTTTTGGCCTAGCGTATTTCCGAAAGGCAGAAAGTTTGGCACGAAGGTAAGGAGAGTATGACGGAACTAGAGGCCACCAGCATCAGGAGAGTCCAGGCGGGAAAACATCGGGCCACCTCTGTTCCTGATGTTTGTCAGTGATCCCACACAAATTTTCCCTCCTAATCCTTCTTCTGATGACAGTAAGGTTTGGAGGTCGGTATTTGAAGAGGTCAACCGCTGAACATTTTAAGGCAACCTGTAGCAACTAGAACTCCGCCTGCCCGAAGCCTGACTGAACGCCAACCAGAAAAAATGCTAAGTAGTGCATACCAAGCAAGGTTGGCTACATACATATAGAAGCCAAGCAACCAAAGCGTCCAGAGAAAAAGATCTGTGCTCCAGTGTTCCTGACACTCCGAACTTCAGCTATGGTTACGGAGAAATGGCAGGTAGAGGGAGTCAATTTTACTTCTCTGCCCACACAGCTCAAAACTTCCACTCTAGAGCTTTTTCTAATGGCTTTCAAACTTTGGAAGTTTCCACTACAGCATTACTCCCGACTCTTGGGAGGGGCTGCACTCTCCTGGAGAAAAAAAAGTATGAGACCGAATCACTTGTCAGGCCAAGTGAGAATACATACAGGCCGAGGAACGCAAGCATATTCATTTTAAGCCGTTGCAGAAACAAGAGTGATGTTGTCATGGAGTACAAGATCGTCTGCCGCATGTCACGTGAACAAACTAACCTTACCCGCAACATAGTGGTCATTGAGATGGAGCTGCATCCGAATATTACATAGGACAGCCAACACCAGGCTCAGGTCAAGCTTTTTCCTCGTAAGAGCACGTGTTTTATGGAATACTATTCCGTGAGGCGTAGTCCCCCCCCCCCTCGGTAGACTCATTCAAAGGGTTTGACGAATACATTAGTTTATATTAAATGCCGGTGACGTACTCAGGGAATTGATAACGTCGCTACCCCACCACTACTTTCTTCTTACCACCCACTATCTTTTTGTTTTTGATACGCCTACATTACGTTCTAACTTCGTCCCGGTAACTAAACTCATGTCGCCTACGTTTACCTTTAGGGAGCCTCCTAAATACCTTTTCCCACTATCTTGCGATTCTTATCCAGGCATCCATGCAGACGGTTTCCTAATCAACTCAATCCATAAGTTGAAGAACCCGGCCAACAAAAACATTCATCCAACCAGAACTAAGATCAGGAAAGCAGAAGCAACTTCTCTGCCCACTGCAGGAACAACAAGGACTAAGCCCCAAGAGCTAGACCCGAGAGATCAAAAACTGTCAGTTCCCTGTGTTCGATCTGTTGATGTTTGATGGTAAGAAGGAAAGTTTTTGAGTTGCGTTTTATCTACTATTCACAGAGTCGTAGAACTGTGACATCTGTAAGCGAATATCAAAATAATTCGGGCTATCAAAGTGTTTTTGTTGCACTTGTGTAATATTCCTCTTTTCCATTCAGTGAATTAAAGCATGAAAAATTATTTCTAGGGTTACTGTTTTCAGCCAGGTTATCCACATCAACAGCAACAGTACTTTAGACATGTGAGAGATAAGTGGCATGAGACAGTTTCGTACTGCAACGTGCTCGAAATCTTACTTATTCACCTATTTCTCTTCTTCTTTTCCCTTCCATATTCTCGAGGGCACCACCAAACTGACACTGCTCTATGGGCCTTTTGCAACAACATACCTATTTGCAGACTAGGTGAAAAACTATCAACAGATTTTGACAATGATTAGAGAACCACGGTCACGGTCAAAGATTGGTTTTCAGATTCAGATTTGTTGTTTGAGGATAGGAGGCTGGGAGCCTATATTAATCCTTTTCCAGTAGATTTCTGTGCTTGTCCAATCCCCCCTTTTGAACGAGTCAGTTGATGATACGGACACCGCTTCTTCTGGGGGTCGGTTCTAGGTGTTGATTACTCGACGCGAGAACCAGTACTCTGCGGAGACTACATTCGTTCTTTGCTTTTTTAGTCTCTTACTTTGTCCTCTGAGATGTTCCGACCTAGTGAGATGGAAAAGAGAAGATAGATCGAGTCCGAAGTCATCTCTTAGAATCCTGTGTAGCATGATTAGGTCTCTCTTCTGTCCGCGATAGGACGAAGTGAAGGGGTTCAGCTTCTTAAGTCGGTCTTCATAAGTGAGCCCAGTCGTCGCTGCCATCAGCTCTGAAACTTGTTGCATGTTCATAATGATTGCAGAAGGATGTCGCGGTAACCTTTCTGCTAAAAGCCATCATTTAACGTTAACGTCGTTACGAAAGTGTAACGATCTGAAATCTACCAATAGAGAAGCAGGAAGGTGACCTTCACGTGGTTGGATCTAAGACCGATGACCTTTCCTACAATCGTGTTTTTTGGTGATTCTCTTACTCAGGTGACAGCGTTGAGAGTTATGCGGTGGCCTTTTTAAGGTATACTTAAGATCGTGTTCGACTTTTCTGTGCTCCATCATTCCCAGCTAGTGCTAATTTTGGGCGAACTTTGGGAACTAGGCTTGGCACTGAACAAACTTCTGGGGTACTTACTAATTTTTAGACCAACCTGTAAGATTTCGCGTATTTCTGTGAAAATTTGCTTTGTAAGGTGCTTATTAAAAAACAAGTAGTGAGGAAATTGTGTGTCAGTGTGGGGGCAATTACCCAATTATAATTATAATTATTGTATACAATTAATTGTGTTCAGGCATGCATGCGTAAAAATATGGCCGATGGGTGAGTTATACAGGATACTCAGGCGAGTCCTTTACGAACTCGAATTTCCGCTTTTCTATTTAACTGGGTTAGTAAGGCAAGTGTCTTCGGTTGGATGCCAAACTAATCTTGGGTTAAGCTAGTGGGCAGGCGATATATATAAGGAAACTAATGTTAGTCAAAATATTCAGTCATTAGAAGACACCAAGAAGGGAATATGTCTGCATCATTGTGACCAATATTTAGCCATTTCGACAAGAGTTCTCAGGCACTGATTACTGTTGTCCCACGGACGTCCGTAAGACGACGGTGGCCGGGTATGCGCAGCACATATCTAAGTGACCTCTGTCAAAGAATGTTCACAACCATATGGGGTACCTAGTACCTCCGTCACTTTATTCAGTGATTTCTTGACTCTGTCCTTACAAGCCTCGGATGGCAAACCAGTCAGATCATGTTGCTTTGTGTCGCTTTATGTTCGAAACTACCTCACGTTTAGGAAGAGTTGAAGGGCCGATATCTACGTTTTATTCAGGTTGGATGCTAGGCAACTGAAGCGTCGCTACGGGCCAGTTGAACTGTGCTTCAAAGTGTTCAACCCAACGTTCTAGCAATCTTTCCTGAAAGGTTATCAGCGTCTCATTCTTTTTTGTGATGGTTTCCCTAACCAACGTTTTCTTCTTCCCAGTATCTTCAATAAATCCAAATAGTTTCCGGAGTTGGGCGAAACACTTTGAGGAACAGTTCATCTAGCCTCCGGTTTCTGTTTCATAGCCCACTATCCAGTCGAAGCCTGAATAGAATATCGAGGTAGGCTCCCTGACACTTGCAGAAGTCGAGGAAACTGTAGGTAACCTGAAACAAGGATGAGCAGCTGGGCCAGACGAAGTAGTTTCTGAGGTGTTTATGGATGGTGGTAAAGAACTCTTGATCAAATTAACTGAAGTGCTAGGTAGTGCATGGGAATCAGATACTATCCCCTCTTACTGGTCTCAATCACTGATCGTCCCAGTCTTGAACAAAGGTGAGAAGTCCTCCTATGATAACCACAGATGAATCAACCTGGCGATTATATTGTCTAAAATTGCAGGTCCTATAGTCACTAGAGATCTGAGTCGAGCCCAGAAACAGCAAACTTGAGGAAGCGAGGGAGGCTTCAGACCTGGCTGCGGGTGTATTGACTATATGTTTGCACTCCGCCAGGTTATTGAACACAAGCACACTTATCGATGCCTGACAATAGTTGTATTTCTCGAGCTGAAGGCGGCATTCGAATATGTCGACCGAGAGGTCTTATGACAGTCTCACTGAAATGGGCACCGATTAAGTACGTCACTCTGTTAAAAGCCCTTTACTCGGACACGTTTGAGCGTGTTAGAGCCGATGGTGACTTGTCATGTGAGCTGCCTGCATCGAGTGGTGTTCTTCAGGGATCCAGCTCTCCCCATTCCTGTTCAATTTTGTTACCGAAGTTCTTATGTAGGTCTCCCTGTCGTCATCTGACATCATAGGAATTGGTCAAATCACTGGAGAATCCTTGGTCGATCTAGAACATACAGATGACGTAGTCCTGTTTAGTGAAGTTGTTGGCAAGATGCGGAGTCTTCTGGGCATATTGAGTGGCAATTTAAAAATGTTTGAGATGCATGCATTTCTCGCCACCCCAATGCAAATTGTAGCTCCAACGGTTCCCTGTCTTGCAATAGAGAGTGAAGCGACAAAGTACATTGATCGCTTCACTTACCTGGGAAGTCGGGTCAGCCCTGGTGGGTCGGTGGCCGACGAAAAACCGTATTTTGTCGTTGTTTCATTTCTTCGTATTATTTCTTTATGAATTCCTAACCATTTTGCTTACTTTCTCCCTTGTTTCTATTTCATCTTGATATATTGAGATGAGATGTGGAAACTTAGACTGTTACTCAATTATGGGAAGTCCAATGTTGATGCTGACTGACCTAGGTCAACTACAGCATACTACCGGTTGTAAAAAGTCATAGTACAGTACCTTTTGAACTGAATTATATACCAACTGCTTAAATTCTTCGTTCAAAGCAAGAAATGCAGTGATTTCTATCGTTGGATAGTTCGTGGGGGGGGGGCGGGGTGAGGTTCAGACTTGCAACTTGTTTTCTCGTAAGCTAATGAACTAATTGTGTCTACAGGGAATACCAATGAGCAACGGTAAAAGTTTGACAGAAGTTCTGTTTTTTTTGACATTAGTATTAACGTTTTATTAGATTACTTTCAGGTTAATGAATGGGAATGTCGAAAATGAACCACTACCGATCCCATTGGCTATTTTTTGATGTTTTTTTAAAGCTTTTCGAGCCGTTTGGTATTTCCTAAGCTGTGTAACTTTTGAATACACAGCCTATCATAATTATGTATGGGTTTCATTTCAGTTTGGGTGGACTTACGAGGGTGGCTGGCTGTCGATTCTGGCATCGGTATTCGTCAGGTGAGTTTGCATTTTCGTCAGCTGTTGTCATTAAAATATTACTTAGAGGCTTCTCAGGTCAGTTTGGTACTATAAATGAAACTAAATGGAAGCTATCTGAATTGAAAGTTCTATGAGATGTCTATGGTTACTTTGCATCTTACACCAGTAGTACTTAGCATAATCTAATATTACTCAGAATGGCTGTTGTAATATGTAGTTATCTGTTTCCAAGTGAACTGGTGGTTGTTTGCTGAATCTTCTGAATCATAAATAACAGCTTAAACGTATTTTAGTTTTTCTCGCCTAAATGCAAGCCGTTGCTTCATGACTGGTTTGTATCGATGTGCCGTTTGTCAAATAGAGTAAGGCTGTTGAACATGTTAACTACTTCATATAACTGCAAAAAGTCAGTATTTTGGTAGTATCGTATTCTCTGAGCTGAATAATTTAATCAAAATTATCCACCTGAGCTACAAATGTTCTCCATCGTCTCAAAGTCACAGTATATTGAGTTGAAAACCGAAGAAATCTGTGCATAATTGCAAAAGGCTCGATTAGGTTTTGCTGACTCATTTGTGCTTTGGAGATTTGCAAATGCTTGTTACAGACTTGGTGTACTACCCAGAACTGCACTTCAGCACACTGAGTCTCTATGAAAGATTCCCATTATGTGTGAAGGATTTGAGCAGGCTTGAAGTATTTAGTTGCAGGACCACTCACTTCGTAAAGTCTGCGTGTGAACGATGTCAGTGCCAAAAATATACTTCTTTCTGAGGAAGGTAGGTGAGCTTATTAATTGAAGAACGTTTTACCACCGTATTTGATTGTATCCGTCTTTCAAATCTCCCTGATAAACTTCGTTGGGTAAAGTTAAGGTAGAAAAAAACATCAAATTTCCTTATGGATTGCAGACTTCAAAGTTCATATATGTGTAAGCATACAGCTGGAGATTAATTTCTTTGAAAATGGTTCACTTCGCTAAATTTTTAGTTTCGATTTCTCAATGAGGTTCACAAATTTTTGAAGTGGAACGATCGGATAAAAATAAGAAAACTAGATAAATCTCCACGTTTCCTCGTCAAATTCGCTTAACCGAAATGTGAAGTTAACCTCTTTTGAAAGCTGTATCATTCGTAAAGAATATCAGAAATTATTCTGGACTGCACTCATATAAAATCGTATTCATCTAAGTTCAGACACTGAAGCATCATGCCTTCAATCGTATCGTTACCATTAGCTCTCATATTGCCGAGTTGAATAGAAATATGTCTTTGCGAAGCTATCGTCTTCATGATTTGTTGACAGACGAACATAGTTTGAGAGTTGTATTTGTTGTCACAGAAAAGCAGTCTCAAGCTATCAGGTTGAAACATCTTGGTAATTGAAAGGGTTTGGTAATCGAAAGTTCCCAGACTATCCTGATAAACATGTATTTGATGAATCCGTTGTTTATCTCTCTACGATTCAACCATAAAATTTATCAATCGGTTCTAATTTCTGTAGAAATGCATCCTAGGTTATCAAACTGCACGCTCAAATGCTATTTGGAAACCTAATCAGTCAGACTTTTGATATTATTTCTTCATTGTCATAGGGATTCCATTGTTTCAATTTCATTATTCTTGACTGCTGTCAACAGTTCACAACTTAGTTGTAGTTTGTTGACGAAGGATCAAACCGAACAACATAATTGGCTGAAGGACAATAACAATCCTAAATCACCCTACTGAAGGGGTTTTTTGTTTATGAATCATCAAGAATATTTTGATGAATTGCTGTTGGCAACTCTGTCAGCACCCAAGTTTCTTCTGACTGCTATCCCTTCCTCCATCATTACCTTCTAATCTTCCTTCACGTCTCTTAATTAATGATGCTGCATCATCTTCAATTTCTCCTACCTCTGCAGCCTTCGACAACGATCTGAGTCCACAGAACAGCATCCCTGGTCTCCTTAAACCACGCTCCAAATTACATATTGGAGCCTTCAATGTCCGCACCCTCCGTCAAATTGGCCAACAGGCTTCGTTGGCAAAGACTCTAGCAACTCGGGCATGGATGTGTGCTGTGTTTGTGAGACACGCATACAGGACCCAAGTGTGGTTATTCACCTGACCTCTCCTGACCAATCTGGTGAATCTGCAAAATTCACCCTTCGAGTTTCTGGAGATTCGATAGCTAGCTCTCGTGGTCTTGCAGGTGTAGGTATAGCATTAAGCACCAGGGCAGAAAACTCACTACTAGACTGGATCCCAGTTGATAGTCGCCTCTGCGCTATGAGGCTGAACGGCACAGTGAGAACTAAAAGGAATAGTGAGACTCGCCGTTGTCTCTTTGTAATCTCTGCTTACGCACCCACTGACTGTAGTTCGGATGAAGTGAAGGACGAGTTCTACCATAAACTGTCTAACCTCCTCTCGAAAGCCAAACGTTCGGACGTAGTGGTTGTTGCAGGTGACCTCAACGCACAGGTGGGTAGACTGAGTGAGGCAGAAAGGCACTTAGGTGGCACTTTCGGAATCCCAGCTGAACGTACAGATAACGGTGATCGCCTATTACAACTATGCTCAGATAACCGCCTATTTTTAGCCAGCACAAATTTCAGACATAAAGAAAGGCACTGTCTGACCTGGCGTCCACCGAGCTCGACTCAGCGATGGACACAGATAGACCACATTGCTATTAGTCATCGCTGGAGAGGATCGGTGGAAGACTGCCGCTCCTTCTGGAGTACGTGTTTGGACAGCGATCATGCGTTGGTCCGAGCACGTATATGCCTGCGTCTCAATGGACGTAGAAAAAATTTGGCAACAAAACCACTACGAGTTCTGCTGGACAACGAAAACACCAAAGCCGTGTTCAGTGAGAAGTTGGCTAGGCAGTTATCGGAACAAAAGACTGTCACTCATCCAGAAGAAGCTTGGTGCCATCTTCAGTCTACTGTAAAAGCAGCACTGGAGACTGTAGCCGACTCCAAGATAATGGCTAAAAAGAGCCAGTGGATATCAGCAGCTTCTTCCAAACTAATGGATGCACGTGAATGCATCCCTGCAGGCTCTGAGTACAATGAAGAGCGAGCGCAACTTAAAAATAGACTGACGAAAAGTCTGCGCAACGATCGTGAACAGTGGTGGGCAGCAAAGGCTAAAGAGATGGAAAAGGCAGCGGCGATCGGTAACAGTAGACAGTTATTTAGACTTATTAAGGAGACTGGGGGGAAATGGTCAACAACAGTTAGTGAGGTTATAGCGGAGAAGGACGGATCTGCGATTCACTCGCAGGGGAGATGACTGGAACACTTTGAGGAACAGTTTAACTGGCCTCCAGCCACCATTGCGCTGCCCGCTATCCAGTCGGACCCTGAATGGGACATAGAGACAGGCCCCCCAACACTAGAAGAAGTTGAGAAAGCGGTAGGTAGCCTGAAACGGGAAGGGCAGCAGGACCAGACGGACTACCTGCTGAGGTATACAAGAATGGTGGTAGAGTTCTCTTAGTCAGGCTAACGGAAGTGTTAGCCAGTATATGGGAATCAAATACGATCCCCTCCGACTGGTCTAAGTCACTCATCATCCCAGTCTTCAAGAAAGGCGAGAAGTCCTCTTGTGATAACCACAGAGGAATCAGCCTGACAAACATAGTGTCTAAGATCCTAAGTTCTATAATTCTCCGACGCCTGAGTGGAGCTCGGGAACAGCAAGCCCGAGAAAACCAGGCAGGCTTTAGACCTGGCCGTGGATGTATCGACCAAATATTCACACTGCGCCAGGTCCTGGAACATAGGCATGCTTACAGACGCCCGACAATAGCTGTATTTCTCGACCTGAAGGCGGCATTTGACTCCGTTGATCGAGAAGTCTTATGGCAATGTCTGTCACTGAAAGGCGTGCCTAGTAAGTACATCACCTTATTGAAAGCTCTCTACTCGAACACTTGTGGGCATGTTAGAGCCTATGGTGAGTTGTCCAGGGAGCTATACTCATCAAGTGGTGTCCGTCAAGGATGCCCACTATCCCCATTCTTATTTAATTTTATCATAGATATTCTTATGGAGGTTTCCCTCTCGTCACCTAATTACAAAGACGTTGACCCGATCACAGGTGAATTTTCCTTAGATCTAGAATATGCAGATGACATAGTCCTGTTAGGTGAAGACGCTGACAAGATGCAGAGTCTTCTGAACACTTTGAGTGGGAATTTGAGAATGTTTGGGATGCGATTTTCACCACCCAAATGCAAATTTTTGCTCCAGGACTGGTCTTCAGCGGTACCGCGGTTAACAATAGAGAGTGAAGTGGTTGAGTGTGTTGACCACTTCACTTACCTGGGAAGTAGGATCAACCCGGTGGGTTAGTTGCCGATGAGATTTCTGCACGGATACAAAAGGCTCGATTGGCTTTTGCCAATTTGCGCCACCTATGGCGCCGCCGTGATATTCGTTTGTCTATTAAGGGTCGCGTGTACTGCACAGCAGTCCGCTCTGTTCTACTGTATGGCTGTGAAACATGGCCATTGAAAGTGGAAGACATGAGAAGGTTTCAGGTGTTTGACCACCGTTGCCTTCGTAGTATAGGACGTATTCCGTGGTGTCACCATGTGAGTAATGCAGAAGTTAGGTGTAGAGTTTTAGGGAGAAGAGGTAAGTCAGTTGACGAGGTTGTGAACCTTCATCGACTGAGATGGTTGGGACACGTACTACGTATGCCTAGTCACCGATTGCCTCGTCACACAATGTTGGCTGAGGTGGGTTCAGGCTGGAAAAAGGCCCGAGGTGGCCAGACTAAAACATGGCACCAATGTATGAAGTCTCTGACTGTTGGTTTAAGCCATGTAGGACGATGCAGACTAGGTGGTTGGGGTCCACGGGACAAGAGGAACCAGTGGTTGGAGACCCTAGGTGATATGGCTCAGAACCGAAGTCAGTGGCGCAGATGTATACACACATTATCCTCATCTTAACAACGCTATACCGAATCTCACTATTTTGTCACTCCTCTTTCCTTTCTTCTCGTACTTTATAT